CCACCCCACACACCCACACACACAAGTTTACCCAAGATCTCAGTCCCTGGCTGTGGTTCCCTTCACCTCACCTCACTCACACAGTGTTCTTTGCCCTCCAAATCACTCATTCTCTCTCATCCCCATGTTTCTGCTCAAGCCAGTCCCTACTCCCACCAGATGCCTCCTGATCCCTGTCCAACCCTGTGAAGTGCTACAACCTACTCAAGACCCAGCTTGAAAATATGTCCTCTCTCTGGGCACACCTTTAATCCCAGTATTTGAGATCTCTGAATTCAAGGCCATCCTGGTCCACAGAGTGAGTTCCAGGATAGCTGGGGCAACACAGAGAAATCCTGTCTCAAAAAGGAAAGAAAGCACCTCCTCTTGCTGTAGATGGTCCTGAATCACTTTGGTCAGGCTTTGCCCCACCTCCGGGGTTTGACAGTCTAGCACGGTGACAGGAACATGGGCTATGGCACTCCCCCGCTCTGCCCTCTCCAGCTGTGGTATCCTGGGCAGGTCATTTACCTCTCTGCACCTCGGTGTATTTGCCTGTAAAGTAACTAATACCTGGGTTCTAACTTTGCTGTGAGAGCCAGGCAATGGGCATGAGAACCTTGGCACACACACCAGGCCTCTCCATACCCAGGTCTGTTTCCCTAGCCAGCTTGTGAACCTGGTAATGTCAGGGTTCAACTGCCACTCAAGGCCACATCCCCACAGCACTTCAGAGGTGCTCAGAAATGCTGGCTGATCTGAATGTTGCTGGAGGGGGGAGGGGTGTAGGGAGTGAGATGAGTGAGACCCTGAGCTGAGAAGGCAGGAGAGGGGGTAGGGAGATGACTGTGGGGGAGGGGCCAGAGCCAGAGGCAGAGCTGCCGATACGCACTGGGGATTTTATTGGTTTTCATTAAAATTCCTTCCCAAGGCAGGAGGAGCTACTCCCATAAATAGCAGCATAAATATTTTATCAGGTGCCCAAGTCAGTCTAAATGCACAGCAAGGTTGGCAAGAATAATAATGGGAAAATTCTCAGGGAGGCGGGTGAGCTGAGCTCGGGTGGACTCACTTAACATTCCCAGAGAGGCTTTCTCAGGAAGGTGGAAGTGAGAAGGGTGCCAGAGGGGAGCAGTAGGAGTGGAATGGAGAAAGGGGAACACAGCTGAGCAGAGCCCCAGGCTGGGGGACCCAGAGACTGGGTGGGGTTAGCTGGGGAAGGGAGAATCAGGAGCATGTTCCACACCTGCTCTGTGAGGGCTGCTTCTCTGGGAACTCATATGGCTAATCTCAAACGCCCTTTGATCAGAGAAGGCAAGCAATTTGCCTAAGGTTTCCCAGCCAGGCACTATCATCAAGTCTATTGAAAGCCAAAGACTTCCTCCCCACTCTACCTGTTGCCTCTTTAAGTTCACAAGCTCACAAGCATGGGGATTTGTGAACAGAAGCCAGAGTACCTAAATAACCACACCATACAGCATGTCATTCTCTGCTTCCTAGATCCCAATAGAGGAGAAAAGGAGCTGGTATTTCACCATGGCAACGCTCTTCATCAGGTCAGGCCTGGGACTGGAGATGGGGTGGGGATGGTGGGAGAGATGTAGCCTGGAAGCCAGACAGAAGATGGAAGAGAGGCGGGTGGGCACCATGGCAGCTCTCTAGAGATGGCTGGGGGGGATACGCAGGGGCCACAGCCCTTTCTTGTCCACAGGCTGGATGGCATCTTGCTGGAGATGGGCAGCGAGGAGCAGAAAAGGCTGCCAGCCTTCAACCGCACCCTAGCATTACTGCGGCAAGTCCTCAAGTCCTCAGACTCCCGACACCAAGGTGGGAACTCCAGGTGGGGTTGAAGCACCTCTGTCCTTCTATCCTGCACCTGTCAATGGTTCTGTCCTCCTCTAGTCCTGTGTCTCTTTGCCTCACCCTGGCTCACCCCACGATCATATAATTACCCAAGAAAGCCCAGGCTCCAGAGTGTAGCAGACTCAGGTGCCCAAACCTGTGGTCCCAGCACTGAGTGGCACGTGAAACAGCATGTAGACGGCTTGGACCAGTGGTAAAACAATTTGCCAATATGGAAACAGGCAAACAGAGAATTTATTGAAATACACTGCAAGGAAGTAGCAGGGGAGTCACTGCTTCTTCAAGGAAGAGGTGAGCGCTAAGAGGCAGTTTCTTTTACAGTAGTTGGGGGTTACTTGGCCTTGCTTCATAAGCCATTTGTGTGGGGACCCCACCTGGGTGGAGAGGCTGCACCCCTTGTCATCTGGTTTAGTAGGAACTTTACAGTAAATTGTTTTCCTTGAGAATGGCCATTTGTGCCAGGAGCCATGGGGTCAGGCTCCAAAGGTTGTGGCCAACCTGTAAAAGCATAGGAATTTTTCTTTTATTTGGGGCCTTTTGTCTCTCTACTCAGAAGCCTGAGGTAGGAAGCCCAGAGTGCCAAGCTAGCCTGTGCTACATGGTAAGACTACCACATAACAAAAAGCCACCAAGCATGCGGTGACACGGACCCACATCTTAGTATGTGTAGCATGTGTCTCCACCAGGTCCGCATTCCACCTCTGTCTAGGGTTAGGGAAGAAGGCTGGGTTGGAGACAGGCAAGTCACTCATTCTAAAGGCCAAACAGCAATCACAGGGGCTACACCCCCCAGGAGGCCCCAGGAGGCCAGAAGAGCCATGTCCCTGAAATGGCATCTCCTGTGTGACATGCTCAGACACAGAGTAAGCACCAGAATGTGTTGTGTCACACCCTCAGGAATGCTATAACTTCCCTGTACCTTTTGTCTCCTCTGTCTCTGGCCCCTACTGTTGTCCCTTTCTTTATCCTTATGGGGGCTAACACCTACAGAGGAGCTGGCTCCATCCATGCCTGTGCTCTCCCTGCCTCCACTGCTCCCTAGAGACCCTGCCCTCTCTTGCCCTCACCCAGCTCTGGCCTGGTGCTATGTTGGCATGCTGCTGGAGAGGAAGGACACCTTCTTTACCACCCCCATGGGTGTCCATGAATGCGGGTACTCGGGGACAGAGCCCCTGGACTGCTTTGGCAAGGTATGTATGTGTTCTAGGTACACCCACTTTGCAAATTTGGACTCCCCCAGAACCCTCTGCTTCTCTGGGCCAATCCCACTGTGTGGCCCACCCAGGAAGGACCCTACTGCAGCCCTGCATGTCCATCCTCTCCACACCCAAAGCAGAAGTGTTCCTTCATGCCTGCTCTGCTCTGCCTAAGAGCAATACAGTCCCCACCTAAAACGGCCCATGCCCATTCTTCCAGCCTTGAAATGGGCCCTGGAACAGTCTTCCCTCAGCTGTGTTTCCTCTCTCTCACCCACAGTGGTTTAGTAGAGGGAATAGGTTTCCTGGGGTCTCCTTACTGGCTCTGCCCTCAGGCCATGTGGCCCTGAGATAAGTCATTTATAATCTGTAGCCATCAATACCAGCATTGGCAGGGAGAGCTTGGCCTAGCTAGAAACCCGTAAGTCTGAGGAGGCAGAGCATGACTCTGGCTCTACCTCTTGTCAGACCCATGACAATGGAGGAAAAGCTTCAGAATGTATGTGCCAGTGAGTTAGACTCCAAGGAATTTGGGTCTGGTGGGCTTACCCCAATGTGTAGGGTCCAATGTAGTTACTGTATGGCTGAGCCACATGGATGCTGGCCACGGGTAGGTAGGATCTGTGACGGGTGGCGTAGCTTTATCCTGTATTTATACCTTCCTTCTTAGGCCATTGAGATCGCCAAGGACCAACCTCCCATCCTGAACCGCCTGGCCAAAATCTTCCACTTCCTAGGAAAGCAGGATTTGGCCATAGGAACTTGCAACATGTCCCTGGATGTGCTTAGGGACCCACAACTCAACTGGCAGGCTTACTGCACCAGGGCCAAGGTGAGCCAACCAGCAGGCCCACTTCATCCTGCCATTAGCAACAAGAGGCCAAAGGTCAAGGGCAAAGATCCTGGGGCCAGTGCCCTGGGATGTTCATAGCAGAGAGCTTAGGAATCATCTAGACACCCGAAATGCCTGCCCTTTGAGCTAAGAGAGTTAAGTTTGATGCTATGTGTGAACATGGAAGCAAGCATATTGAGGAGTTCATTTGTGACCAACTCATTGCTATTATCAGGTCCATCTTTAGCAGCTCCACTGTCTCTTGAAAGACTGGGCTGCACCATATCCTCAATGCTGTCAGTCACATCCTCAATGCTGTCAGTCACACGCTGAGGTGAGAGTTGCCTCCCTCAGTTATCCTTGCTGGACCCAGCTCTACCTCTGGCACCGCACAGAATCCAGCTATTTGAGGTCACACCTACAGCTCTGAATTCATTTTTCTCCAAGTTAATAAGTACCCCTCACCCCTCATCCTCTCTACTACCTTTCTCCTGACCTGGTAGCCAATGTACTTGCCATCTGGTCTCCATAGCTGCTGGAAGTAAACAGAAAACTTTCACGGTAATTGATACAGCTGTTACTGATAATAAGGATACTTGTAAAACCAGAAGGTGGCGCTACAAAAATCTTCCATTATATGCTCTGGTTTACTCCTCCTAAGAATCTCGTGAGACTTGAGACACGTGCCAGTCTATGGATGGGGCATGGCACAGGGAGGCAGCCAGCTTCCTCAGGGTCCTGCATTCACTCTGTAAGAATGACAGTCTTAGCTCCTCCCTCTGCTCCCTGTGGCTCCAAGGGTCACACTTTTACGACTCAGATGGCCAGAGCAAGAAGGAACAAGACAGAAGGGAATGGCACAGGGCAGTGTGGAAGCTTCAGTCCATTGTGCTACCCGGGAGCCCAGACTGTCCTGATGCATTTTCTTCCATCTCAATGGCCTGGGTCTCCACCCATTACGCTTGCCTCATAGATAATCTGGTTCGCTTTCTCCCTTTCTGCAGGCCTGTCAAAACTCCAGCTTCTTCCTAGTGGCCTCTTACTGAAAATGTCAAAACACTTGCCAGTAGTTTCCGTACTTCCCTGCTTTACTTTTCCTTCTTTTTTTCTTTCTTGTTTGTGTTTTTGTTTGTTTTGTTTTTTCTTTTTTTGAGATAGGGTTTCACTGTGTAGCCCTGGCTATCCTGAAACTAGCTTTTTTGTTTTGTTTTGTTTTGTTTTGTTTTTTGAGACAGGGTTTCTCTGTGTAGCTTTGGAGCCTATCCTGACACTCGCTCTGGAGACCAGGCTGGCCTCAAACTCACAGAGATCCTCCTGCCTCTGCCTCCCAAGTGCTGGGATCAAAGGTGTGTGCCACCACCACCTGGTTACTTTCCTTTTTAACACCGGACACACTGTTTGCTATGTGTCCTATTGACTATTTCTCCCTACTCACATACAAGCCCATGAGAGCAATCACTTAGTCATTTTGTTTTCCATGGTATCCTCAGCGCCTGGCACATAGTAAGTTTTGGGAATTGCTAACTTTTCAACTTAGAAGATGGAGTTCAGATGTTATGAAACTTCTGCCAGGTTATGTGGCTGATTGTGGGGGCATTCAATACTCATTTGCTGAAAGAGTGAATGAATGAATGCTCTCACTTCATCCTGCTCCTCTCTGTATAAGCAGGGAGACAGGCCCAGAATGGGGAGTGGTTACCCTCGCTGGCACAGAACTAAGACCCTGGGCTCCTGAGGCTTTCTGCAGTCACACAGGATGCCCCTGATTGCTGCTGAGAAGCACCCTGGCTTTTTCACGAGATCAGAACTGAGGCAGATGTCTTCTGCTGCAGCTTCTCCTGAGTTTGCCTCTCTGCTGCAGGTCCAAATCAGAGCCTATGTCCACGACCTGGAACGGGCCAAGGTGGGACTTGGAGGTATGCCGGACAGGAACCACCTGGCCTGTGCCAAAGCTGACCTTGAGGAAGTGGTCAAGGTGTACCCAGGCCTCAGGACCTACCTAGACATTGGCCAGGTAAGAGAGACAAGGGCTTCCTGGGCACTGAGGACAGAGAGGAAAGTCAGCCCCTGCTCTCCTCCTCTAGCTGTCCTGTGAATTGGATGTAATGTGTATATAGTGTTTGGAAGCTCCCCTCGTCCCACCCTCTACCCCTCTCAGCAGTCAGCACAGACCATGCTATTCCCAGGGGAAAGGCTATCAAAGATGACTACATCATGATTGTACATGGGAGGCCTTATTCAAGGTCCTAAGTCTAGGTGTGGAGGAGACGGGACTAGAACCCTGGTACAGGGTTTTCCAGGGGGCAGGTACAATATCTCTAATTAATAGCAGAATTGGTGGGAACTGATGAGGGGGGCAGGGTGCAAAGGAAGAGGTCTCAGAGGTCACCCCCACGCAGGTTTACTACTACATGGGCGTGGATGCCATGCGGGAGCTGCTGGCAGTGGATGAGGCCGCGCTCAACCAGGCGCTGGTCTTCCTGGCGAAGGCTGGCGAGTTGGAACTGGGAGACACGCTGCCCGAGCTGCAGCTGCTGCGCGGCAAATGCTTGCGAGTCCAGGGCGAGGACGCCAACGCCGCAGCCTGCTTCAAGCGTGCAGTGGAGTTGGACGACGCAGGATCCAGTCACACTGAGAGCTTCGGCTGCCTGCTAGAGGCGCTGCTAGCCCAGTGGAGCCAGGCGCAGTTGAGTGATGGCGAGGTGGGCTGCGAGGTGGACATTTGGCTGTGCCATGCCCAGAGCAAGTACCCGGCAGCACGCCTGCGCCAGGAGCTACAGCGTGTGTGGCGCAGTCACACAGATGAGGTCCTGGGCCTGGCCAGCGCCTTAGTAGCCCAGGGACGGCCAGCACTAGTGAGGCTGCTCTTTGAAACCATGGAACATGAGGGTGAGGACACTGGAGGGCTATGCAAAAGTCGAGCATCCTCCTCCTGAGTCAGGTGCTGATGCACTGATGAGGCCCAGACCGGAAGAGGCCCCACCTAGGTGATTGAATCTAGCCATGGCACCCAAGACAGCTCACCTGACAGGGTGAGCAGAGCCAGAATGTTTTCCACACTGGGTTATAATTTAGTCAAAGGCTTGCTTAGCAAGCTTGAGGCCCTGGGTTCCTTTCCTATACCTGGTTGGGGGGAGGTGGGAAGATCAAAGAAGACTTTCTCCTCCTCCGGAAATTGTGAATGGGTAGCTTTGGAACGTTTTATAAATTTGAAATACCCATAGGGCAGTAATGGGCACTTGCGGGGAAAATCTGCAGAGCAAGGAGTCTGGGAGCAGGCATGAGAGGCCACTGGAAAACTGCCACTTGGGGAAAAGAATTTTACAGACATGCAGCAATAATAGAATGGCTCAAGTTTCCTGACAGAAAGGATAGCTATCTCAGATGTGACTTTCTACCCCAGATGTCTGAGTGACTGCCATTGGAGTCCCAAAGGGCCACACTGAAAGTTTAGCTGAGTGGGTCTTAAGTCCTCAGCCAGAAAAGCCTAGCTAGGACAGACCAAGGTGGCACTATATGTGGGTGAGGCAGGGTTCTGACTTCAATCTTGGTGCTCAGAGCCAGTCCCTGCCTCTCCATCAGCTCCAGCAGGTCTCTGCTTTAGCCAGCCTTCTTGGAAGGCTTCCCAAAGTCCCTGAAATAAAACTCATCAGAAGAACCCTTCCCCACCTTCCCTGTCCTCTCTGTGTCCCTGCTCCTTTACTGTTTAGTTTGTTTGTTTATCAGTTTATGATACCTCAAGGAGTTTTTTGATAACCTCATTCACACATTCACACATTGTATGAGTGGTCAGCAAACACCCATTCTAATTTCCCTCAGGGTTCTCTGCACATTAACCAGAAAACAAAGAGGTAGAGAAACCCATTCCAGCCGGGCAGTGGTGGTGCACGCCTTTCATCCCAGCACCCGGAAGGCATAGGCAGGAGGGTCTCAGTGAGTTTGAGGCCAGCCTGGTCTACAAAGTGAGTTCCAGGACAGGCTCTAAAGCTACACAGAGAAACCCTGTCTCGAAAAGCCAACAACAACAACAAATTCCCTGGGCTGCCCACTATGTGTTATACATAGATCAAGTGGCATTACAAACCTCACTCCATGGGTGGCACAGATACGAACAAGGTCCCAGACAGATGAAAAGTCAGCACTGAGGCAGACCAGCCCATTCCCTGCTATAGGCTTACAGATATGCCCTCTTTGGTCAGAGTTAGGCCTTCCTGGTGCCCTTTGGGCCTGTTTTCCCCATTTCTGTTCTTGACTGTATAACCTATCCTTTCCACATCTAGTTTCCTCACTGGGTCTCTACAGCCATTGCTGTCCTATCAAGTGCTCAGCTCAGAGGCAAACCTCCCCCCCCCCCCCCCCCCCCTTTTTTCTTTTCCCTACCTTTCTCAACATGGAGGGTTTATTGGAGCTATGTCCCACTACATGACAGTCATGGATATTGTGACTATAGCCCAGGGATCCTTGAGGTCTAGAGTTCAGCCAGAACCATGGCCTTTGTACCCCCTGCTCAGCTTCATGCCAACTCCCCAATTCCATGAGTGGGAAACTGAGACCCAGAGACTTGTCCAAGGTCAATCACAAAACCACCACCTCATCCGTGGTCCTTCCAGGGAAGCTGCCTTGCCAGGCTTACTTCTGTCAAGTCCACAAGAACCCCAGATCTTCCATTTCTTCTCTCATCAAATACTTAGCAAGCATAGGCCGAATGCCAGATGAAGTGCTAAACCCGAGAACAATTTTGTGGCCAGAACCACAAAATTTGCTTTGCCTTCAGAGGGGTAGCAGCCTAGACCATACATAGCAATTAGGAAAACACCCCCTGTACCATCCTCAGGACTTAAGATCTGCAAAGATACTGGAGACCTACAGAAATTATTGAAAGGCACCACCTTGCTCCCCTCCTCCCTCAGCCGTCCTCAGCTAACCCGAGTGGCCCTTCTGCAGTGTAGTAAAGAATGTGCTGTACCAGGCCCTGGATCTTGGCTGTTCCTCTTCAACAAGCCATTGCTCAGGCCAGGCCTGGCAGTTCCTTGCTCTTTTGGTTTCATGTGTAAGCCCTGCGGAATCCTCTGCCCACTGGATGGCTGGGAGGACAACTGTCCTTGAACTGCCTGTCCTCTCTTCTCCTGGGTCTCACAGCTGCTAGGCAGCTGGGAACATCTGTTTAAGAAGTCTGAGAGAAGGTTATGAAAGATAAAATGGGCAGGATTCCTCAATAATGGGTTTCAAAGCTCTACGAGTTTCAAAGAACCTTCATTCTCACTTGCTCTAGCCTCCCATCTAAAGCAAGACTCCTGAACACTGAGTGGGAGTGTCTACAAACTGTTGCATACAGCAGACGGGCAGAGTACTACATCACAGAATTCATAGATAGCCAGGTATGGCGGCTCACACCTGTAATCTCAGAGCTCCTTAGGATCAAGACCAGCCTGGGCTACATAGTGAGTTCCAGGTCTACAGTGTGAGAGACTGTCTGGAAAGCTAAACAAATGAAAGAAGAAAGACATTTTTAAATGGAAAGGAAAAATAAAGACAGCAAGAAATCCACAGAAAACAAGTCGGTTCGTTTTCAGCAGGTCTGTTCTTTTATAGAGTTGAAATCTTTTCTAAAGCTTTTTTTCCCCCAATTCAGGTTTGTTTTCTGGGGCGGTAGAGCTCAGAGCCTAATAAGCCAAGTGGCCTTGAACAGGCTCCTCTGCTTGCCATTCTCTTTCTAGTATGAAGCTGCTGTGCAGTGTTGCCAGCCAGGCTGTGCTCTGGCTTGGCTTCCAGCCTCCAGCCCCAGCTAGGGTGCTCACAATGAAGGTGCAAGCAGCTAAAAGTTGTGCAGAGCCTGGTTTCTCTCTATCCCTAATCAGCCCCCAAGGGAGCACCCTGTATGGATGATGGTGGCTGGATGCCAAATGAAGTGAAATATCTCCTTCCCAGGCTGTTGAGATTTTTTTCTTGTTTAGGGAAGGGGAGGATAATGACATTTAGCACTTTACAGCTCAACAGTAAAATGAGCAGATGGAAACAGATTCCGGCACTTCGGACTGAGGCTCTTCCAGCCAGGGCAGCCCCAGTCAGGGCTCCCCCTCCTCTCTGTTTTGCCACACCCAGCTACATCAGTTCCCTCACCTGTTCTAAATCTACCCTCAACCCCCCTACCCCGTGACAGCTACCCCCACCACTACCCCCAGCTATCCCAGCTCCCTGCCTCTGCCCTCTCAGTTCCACCCAGCTGGAACCAGCCTCCTCCCAGGCCTGGCTGGAATGCACTCACCTATTAGATGGAGAGGTGTGGGGAAGGTGCACGCTGTGTTTAGAGAGTGCTGCTTGCCATAATTCTTGCAGAATGTCTGATAGTTTTAGCATTCACAGTCTACCGGGAGTGCAAATATTAAGCTGGGTACTACTGGGCCCTGACCCAAGACCCTAACTTGCATCCAGGCTCATTTTATTTTAATACTGGGTCCCCAGCTATTAAAATAGCTGTGGTGCTATTTTGAAGGAACCTTTAGGTGTGAGACAGGGCCTGGATGGTGGAGTCTCTGAGAGTTATTCCCCTTTTTGCCAGTGTCTGCTGCCTGCCTGTCAAAGGAAGACACTGACACTGCATGCTCCCACAGAACGAGCCACCCTGCTTTGCCTTCTCCCACCCTGAAGAACTGAACTTTGTATAGAACTGGACCAAAATAACAAGATGGCAGTGGGCTGGGCTAGGTGATAGGAAGGGATGTTTACAGGGCACTTAGGGGATACTCAAGCTGTCTGTGCAGGCTTTACTAACCTCTTGTTTGAGTTGTCTCTGTCAGGCATTTGATGACAGAAATGAGAAAAATAGCAAATACACTACCCCAGAATCAAATTCCAGTGCTTTAGCTGGATTTCCCATCTCCCCGAATGTAAGGCACACATTTCTGGGCTTTTTGTTTGTTTGTTTGTTTGTTTGGTTTGGTTTTTTTTTTTTTTTTAAGAAATTTCCCAGTCTCTGGGGCTGGAGAGATAACTCAGAAGTTAAGAATACTTGCTAGGGCTGGAGAGATGGCTGAGAGGTTAAGAGCACTGACTGTTCTTCCAGAGGTCCTGAGTTCAATTCCCAGCAGCCACATGGTGGCTCACAACCATCTATAATGTGATCTGGTGCCCTCTTCTGGCATTTAGGCACACGTGCAGGCAAGATATTGTGTACATAGTAAATAAATCAATCTTTAAAAAAATTAAAAAGGCCTTTGGACTACAACTGAAACACCAGCTTTCTAGCTGGCCCAGTCGACAGATTTTTGAACCAACTGCTCTCTCTCTCTCTCTCTCTCTCTCTCTCTCTCTCTCTCTCTCTCTCTCTCTCTCTCTCACACACACACACACACACACACACACACACACACACACACAGCCTATAATTTTTAAATCCACACCATCTCAGTCCTCCCACAGCACTTTCTTTGCACTCCTCTATATATCATAATCTACCTTGTTAAATTTCCTAAGTGCAAAATAGGAAGGGGTATTTACTGTATACTGGATGTGTGAGGCACTGTAGCACTTGCCTCATGTTAGCTGATTCTTTTATTCACTGATTAATTCATTCAGCAAAGTTTTATCAAGCATTCGTAAAGTGCCAGGCAATGATCTAGTGGGGGGGGGCAGGGTTAAAGCTATGGCTGAATTTGGCCTGCCACCAGTTGTTGTTGTTTTTATATAAAGTTTTATTGAAACACAGCCATGCTTATTTGTTTACATTCTCCTATGGCTACTTCTCTTAGATAATGACCTAATTGAATAGTTGTGAAAAAGACTAGCCTGCAAGCCTGCAAAGCCTGCAGTACCTAGTGTACTGTTTAGTTCTTGAAGAAGAAAGTTTGGTGCCCTCTGAGAGAAGCAGTACTGTGTATCACCATGTTCTAAGGCGAGGGAGGTAGGGGGAGGATGAAGCACAAATGAGCCCCAGATTGGAAAGGTCTTTATTATGTTAATTGGTGCTAAGTATTAGAGAGGAAACTGAAGCAAGAGAATGAGGCTTGCAGGGGATGACGTAGGTATGTTAGACCCCCGGAAAACTCAGGTATCCGGGGTCCCAGGCCACGACTACGGTCACCCCAATCACCAGGCGGATTCGAGAGCTTGCTGCAAACTGCATGAGGCTTTATTGTAATTTAACGAGCTAACTCCATGTTAGCTCGGGTCTTTCACCC